AAAAAAAAAACTTTGTGCATTTCACCCCATAACTAAAGGGGAAAAAAGTGGAAAAAATTGAAAATTCTGTCTAAAAATCCCTATGAACAACTTCTTTTGTTACATTTATTTTCATGAATTATTTGGACTTGTGAACAGATCGAAAGACGACGAATTACGACCTTTTCGTTTCAATCTATGATACTGTTACTACATTATCTTCAAATAAATGCAACAGAAAGGTTCCTACACTCTCTTCTTTTGTTAAAGGTAACACCAGAGACCTCAGCAATAATCTCGATAAACAAAAAGAACACGTAAAACTGGAGATAAAAGAAAGCGATGAAAAAAACATGTCAAATAGCTGCAATGAATTACTAAATTCTTCATTTCCTTTTCTGTCATATCTTGTTGTATTAGTGAACACTGCTTGCCCCCTCTAATTCTGTAAATCAGCACTTTCTTCACATCCTATAAAAACTGTAGAAATTGTCTTTCAGTTACTTCCTGACTTCTTTTCATCAGTTCCTTGCTATGGTCGCGACACTTGCCTACCAAAAACTCCAAAAGCCAAAACCAGAAAGCCGCATAAAAGGCACACCTTATTGTTCAAACAGACTATGAGTCAACATATCGGGAAATGAAAACAAAAACATCCGGAAGCCTAAAATTGTTCGCAAACTAAGCACTGACAAATAAAAAAATATTAACAATTTAAAAATCAGTAATAAAACTTCAACATGCACCACGTGTTATACTCTACACAAAGAATACTACATTCAGCAGTTTCCCCTGACTTTTTTCCTTATCTTCTTACTTCTAAGTAGTGCTGCAATCAAGAACAAAAAGCAACCAGTGCAGAAAATTACTGTGTGAAGAGCTTAGAATTTGGATATTTTAAACAATATAAACATTTAAAAATAGAGCAAGCCAGTAGCAGAACAAAGAAAGAGCAATTTAATTTGCTACTGATATATAAATATATTAAAATAATGGCCAAGTTCTTCGGATTTTGAGAATCTATCAGTACACAGCTACACAAATCTGTTGTTCTCTAAAACAGTTTTCAGAAGAAAAGAAAGAAAAAACTGAACGGTGGACAACCATTGTTGAACAATTTCTTGCAGCTGAAAATAATAGCATACGAAACACAACAGACATAAATCATAAGTTTAATGCAATTAACAACAATCATAACTGAACAAACAACAGGCTTTTTTCAACAAAAACAACCAACTTCTTTTCAGAACAGCTGTGCTCTCCGGGAGCCAACTGAATAACAGAAATGATAGGAAGGAAAGCAGACAGCACCAACTTTCCCCCTTACTGCCACCCATCCGTTCCACAGATGCACAACAGGATGGACCATGGAAACAGCGCAAGTAAACTAGCACTCACTACACTACTACTTTTATCAAACCCTCTTTCCCGTGGTCTTCCCCCTCCTCCTCCTGCTGAGCCGTTGCTATATCGCGGAGCGCCTGCACAAATACACAACGACCGACCAACCAACCATCCACCGCGCAACTCAACGAATACACTAAACCCCGCCCACTCTGCCATTAAGGCGCGGTAGCTATACCGCCACCGCCCCTTTTTGCCTCAGGTCTCAAGCTTCCCGTGGCGCTGAACGCAGTACTCAGCTTTCCAGGTTCAGCGTGAAACACCTCTTCAGGCATCGTTATTCGCGAAAAATGGCTGAAAAGGGAGAGTACAGCGACGCAGTTCGTTTTCTTCATTCAAACGATGACAGTAGCGTTACTGGTCTCACATTGACCCAATCAAGGAGGACTGAAAACTTGACAATGAAGGCGAGTAAGATGGTAGACACAAGTAAGCAAAGGTGGATAGTGGTAAAAAAGGGAGAGAGAGGAAGAAGCCAATTTTTACAATGTCTATTGTTCCGTCTTTTTCTTCTTTTACCATTTTTCCAGTTAGTTTTGAAAAATTGAACCGATAGTGACATCAATCATTCCGTCTTTTTCCTTTTTTCTTACAAGTTTTATCATTTGGCAACATTATTTGTCCAGTAAAAGCTACTGAATGGATTTGAAATCATAACGGTACTACAGTATTTGTTGCTGTTGTTGTTATTGCTTATTTAATTGAAAGGAATAACAAAATCGGTGAAAAAACTTTAAAATTTCTTCAAAAGAATCTTGAAATATACTAAACTTTTACAGGAGGAAAGGAGACAAAAGAAAACAATTTTTTGCTGTTGCTGGTTCGTTCGTCTCTTCGCTCAATTTTTTTTTTCTTATAACATTTCATTGAGCAAAAAACAATCTTTTTTATACACTTGATAAATGAGTGGAGTTAAAAACAAACATGCAAGAAACAAGGCAAAATTGGTAGGAGATTGAAGGAAAATAGAAGAAGCAAAAAAAAAAAAGAAAAATGATAGAGAAAAGGAAAAAACTGTTCAGAAGAGAAATTTTTCAGTAAAAATAACAGTTAAATATGTTAATATATACATCTAATAAATTTGCAAAAATGTTGATGAAGAATGCAATTTTGAACAGATTATTAGGTGTGATGTGCACAATAAAACTGCATGTTTTCCAAATGTCAACCAATTAAAATTGTTAAAATATTTAGAAATCAGAGTATGAATAAGGTAAACTGAACAACTAGTAGCCTTTTTTTTTTTTT